CTTTTCTTCACTGCTGTATCCGAGCGCTTGGAGCAAGGCCCGGCACACAGTAGGTGCTCTGTTGATGAGCCGGCTGACTTCTGAGCCCGCTTGCTGGAGGACTCCCGTGGTTAGAGGGACATGGGTAGTACTGATTACAGGCGGCCCCTGAGATTGGAACCCCTGAGTTGTGACCATTCCTTGTACACGCATGGCCGCTGTGCTGCCCATGTTTACTGTGACCACTGCTGCTTTCGCCTCTGGATGGCACATGTTCTCTTGAGGCTGGGCAGAGTGTGTTCTTGGCATTCTTGGTGCTCAGCTGGAACTTGGAGCTTGTTTGTATGTAGAAAAGCAGTGGAAAGCTACAGTGATAAGAATAGTACTATTCAGCTACATGATAGTTCAAATAGGCTTTTGAGCCCTAAAAGGACATTTAACCGCCATCTGTGGCATTCTGGCTTTGGAAAAATGTGCTTCAGTCTTCCAAATAATTTGGGAATGCATTTTTAGAAACCGGTAATTTGTAAGGTGGGTGCTGTATGTAAACATACTTGAGCTGTGGAATAAATCGGAATGTTACATAGACTCCTGAGTTGAAGTCTAGATACCCTCTGACAAACTAGTCTTGTTTTTTCAGGAAAACATTTCCATCTTCTCTAACCTTGAACCTGAGCGCTCCCTTTTTCTTCCTGCCCTCCCCATGCCACATTCCTTTCCGAAGCTTGGGAAGAGGGGACTCTCATACAATCAACACCTCCCTTGTTTCCTCTCCTCATAGTTGAGTTGTGCAAGGCTGTCAGTGGCTGTGTCTTCTGAATTAGTACCTAATTCTAAAGCAGCACCAGACTCATCACCCATGCCTTCCTTATGCCCCCGCCTTGTTACATCACCCTAATCTCTGCTGCTTATGGCTAGGAAACCCTGAATAAGAATCCACTGAGCAAACCCTGAGAGCAGCTTATTGTATTTTAGGGAGGGCTTACTTCCCAGAGAGCAGAAAGACAGCTGTTGCTTTTTAATGTATCTTATGTGATCCACAGCATAAGGGAAGGGAGCCTGAATCCATATTAATCACTTGAGAAGGCACACTGGAGGTTTGTGGGAGAGAAGCCACTTTTGGGTATACTTTCTCATAGAGGCCGAGAAGAAGTGGGAGGCCAAGCAGCGAGCTAAGGAGGCTCAGGAGCGGGAACTGCGGAAGCGGGAGAAGGCGGAAGAGAAGGAGCGCCGGAGAAAGGAGTATGACGCCCTCAAAGCAGCCAAGCGGGAGCAGGAGAAGAAACCTAAGAAGGAAACAAATCAGGCCCCGAGTAGGTTTTTCTCTCAGTTGCAGGGTTCCAGGAGGGGTGTGGTGGGGAGATGGCTTAGGTTTCCAGGCATGGCTGAGTGAGTGAGTGAGCGAGCGAGTGAACAAGCTTGCAGACCTCGTCAGGTACAGCATACTCTAAGGCCTGGGAGTAACTCAGAGGGTCCACTTACAGCGAATGGGGACCCTCCTACTGCCCCGAATGGTTTGTCTCCCCAGTGTCACATGCTTATGTGCAGGTATTTGGGTCAGATGTAGCTTAGAACGTTTCCAGAACAGGGAGTTGCACTTTCTGTAAGGGTTAGATTGTAAAATCACCCAGAAAAGTGAAGATTGCATATGGTCACATTACTCTTAAAAGTCCCTGACGTCATCCAGGAAGTGGACTGAGCTTTTGAGTGTGTGGTGGCGTCTCAGTGGTGCCAGCACTGCCTGTGATTTTCTTTCCCAGTTGGACCCGATCACTGTTTGGTGAACACCAGGGGAATCACTTGGCCTGCATTCGGGGAGCCATGTCGTATATAAAACACGTTAGTGTTTTGCCTGAATATGTCCCGTTGGATTTGTGTAGCAATGTGACTCCATGTATAAGGGAGGACCGTATATCCTCTGGGCCAAAAGGGACACCTGAGGGAGAGGAACCTGAGCAGGGAAGCTCTGTGGGGAGGGAGGCCTGCTGCTTGCCCCTGCTAGCCTTGAGCAAGCCGCCCAACCTCACCACCTTTCTGTTCCCTTATGTAAATGAGGATCATACCTCCTTACAGATTAGTGATAGGATTAAGTGAGAAAAACCTATGACAGGATCATGTAGTTCTTGGAATGTGGGTGTTCAGTCAGGTTTTTTAAAAATTTGCCTAAAAATCTCAAAACCATTTTTTTCTTCAATAATTATATTCACTGCAGACAATTTCTTTATATATATGGGAAAATGGCAATCACCTGTAATCCCCTGTTCCCAGCAGTAATCACTGTTACCAATATGGTATACTTTCTTCCAGGCTTTCTTTTTATAATAAAAACATTAACAGTATTCATAAATTTTGAACCTGTTTCCCCAAATGGGCAGCACTCTACCCACGCTTGATGCCTCCTGATGAGCCCCTCCCCTTGGTCCTAAGGGGCCCTGATCATCAGCATGTTATGGAGAACTTAGGACCCTGGGGACTGTGTGCTAGTGAAACATCCAGAATGAGATCCAGTTTTGAATCTACTCCCTGAGATCCAAGGGAGAAAGAGTTCATGTTTCAATCTCTGCATAGCAAAGTTTTTAAGAGCTCAGATGGTCTAGAAAATGTGTTCTCCTCAGGGCCGGGGGAGTTTTCATCAGAGCAGAGGGGTGTAAGTGGACGTGCACGGAGACTAGCATCGACTGCAGAGTGTGCGTCCTTAAACTGACTGGACTTTTTGCCTACTGTGATTTTGTCCCTCCAGAATCTAAGTCCGGCTCTCGGCCCCGGAAGCCACCACCCCGGAAACACACTCGCTCCTGGGCTGTGCTGAGGCTGCTGCTGCTGCTGCTGCTGCTGTGTGTGGCTGGCGGGCTGGTCGCCTGTCGGGTGACGGAGCTGCAGCAGCAGCCCCTCTGCACCAGCGTGAACACCATCTACGACAGCGCGCTCCGGGGCCTGCGCAGCCACGACATCCTCCGGTGGGTCCTGCAGACCGATTCTCAGCAGTGAGCTTGTCCTCCACACCTGCTGCCTCCCAGCCTTGGAGCTTGGATTCCTATGGAATTGGGTTCTGTTGGACACAACCTCTTTTTAGTGTCAGACCTACCTGCCATCATCACATGGCTGCCGTTTGGTACTTGAGACCTCCCCTTTGTAAGACTTCTTTGTTCCTTAGTCAGGGTTCCCTGGTGGAATAAGGAGAAATAGGAGGTGGGGCCAGTTACCTGCATGCTTAAAATAGGCTTGGGGTAGGGAGAGGAAAAAACATAGCCTTTTCTAGTTGTTATACAAAGCTGTGTAAAGGCAAGACTCATTTCTACTAAAGGTCAGCTGTCACTACATTTATACTTTTGTGTGTCACAAACCCTTTCTTTCATTCCTCCCTGGGGAGCCAGGGCAGATCAGGAGGCAGTGTGTTTATTGGGGACTAGGGGAACACCACACTCAGCAAATCTAGTCTAAGTTGCGGGGGAGGGGCATACCTATTTTTTAAGGACCTCAGACATTCAGATATTTTAACAGTCATACAAAATCTCAGGCTGTGACAGGACTTCCAGACCATCCAGTCCAATGTAACACTTGTAGACAGGGAAACTGAGGCCTTCCATGACTTGCCTATGGTCTCTTAGCTGGTTTGAGGCAGAACTGGATTCCCACCCTGGTATCCTTTCTTTCCATCATTTTGCCTCCTTTATAGTGTACTGAGAGAACAAAACTTACACCAGAATTGTCTCTTGGCTGGAGTATAGAATCTTTCATGGGAAACAGATTCATGACCCACAAATAGAAATCTCATAGCCATGAGGGTCTTGGGCAGCTCTTGTAGAGTCCTGTGGCAATTTATGTGGCTTCTATAAAATGGGGATGGTCCAGGCTCCTTGTGTCAATTTGAGAGCATTAATGCCCTGATTGCCAATAAACAAGGTGGTGGACCCTTGCAAAGCCACATGGTCTGTGACAGCTCTCTTACATAATCGGTGTGACTAAATACCTCATAGGCAACCTGAAAACTAAAGCTTCATTAGAGACTGAGGTTTAGAATTGATTCTAGATTATAACTACACAATGAAGGGAAATAAGTAGCATCATGGAGTTTAAAAGTGGTACATTAACGACTTGCATGAATAAGGGCAGAACTGTCCATTCTCTTGTCTGCCAGACTCAGCATTTTCTTGCTCTATGGCCTCCTTTGCCTCCTTTCACAACAGTTGGATGAAGGGATCAGAAATGGCCATCACGGTGCTCATTCACAGAAGACTCCCGATTGAAAGTTCCTTGCCTCTCCCCAGGGGGAGCAAGAACCTGTCATGTCCAGAGACAGAGTGGGGTCCATCTTTTCGGCACTAGTGGCCCATGGATAAGACTGACACTTGTGACCGTCCTGACAGTGGAAGAAAAGACTTGTTCTTTTCTCCCTCAGAGAGAGCTCTGCTGCGTAGGCCCACACCTTACTCAGAATCACTACACATTCCTTTAGTCTTCCTCCAAGCTCCAGAGCCATTGGTACAAATGCTTTATTGAAACTAAACACATAGTACATAAAATGAGATTAAGAGAATACAGAAGTCAGCATAGTGATCAGACCTCCCCTGGTTCCTTGGCTGCTTGAGGCAGCTTCCGTGGATGGGAGGAAGGCGGGAGCACATCCAGCCTTGTCAAGCAGCCTGCCGAGCGCAGTTCACTTGTGACCTCAAGATTTGACACTGAGGTTCTTTTGGATTTTTACAATTATTAAATACATGTCTGAGTGGTCTGTCTTTGTTCCTTTGTATTTTGAGGGCTGGCTGGGGCAGGGGTCGGGGTGGTTTGTACGTGGCAGTTGACTTGCTGGGAGAGGAAGGCAGATGTGAGCACCTCAGCCTCTGCCCCATGTTGACAGGTAAGGACCCTATCACAAACAGCGACACCCAGGAAGGTCTGTTGTGGGCAGGACCCAGGCTGTGCTGCAGGAGGTGTTTCTAATCCCTGCACTGTAGTCATGCTCTGAGGTTGGGGGGCTGGGGTGGAAATCAGCTTTTCATCCCTGTCCCTGAGGGCTGGCATCAGTCTGCACTGTCTAAAGAGAGATCTGGCTGCAAAGCTGTCATCTGAAGGTAGATACGCCTGGAGAGCTCTTGTCCAAGACGGCGGGAGGTGGCTGTCACACCTTCCCCACGGCGCACCTGTATGTCTGCAAGCAAATTCTGGCATTCTTGCTCAGAAAAACACCGCTTATAAGCCTGAAAGTGGTAAATGACCTGTTAATACCATACCACCCATGGGCATTCCTCATCTGTGAATAAGGGATGGGAAGCTTAGGTTGGGGGATGAGAACCGTCCTCCCTCCCTGGTCAGTGCTGACTCTGACCTCAGACCCACACTGTTGACTTACAAGGCATTCC